CGGCCGCATGGTCATCGGCACCAGCCGCGCCGGCGACCCCGTCACCGCCGACGACATTGGCGTGGGCGGTGCGCTCGCCATCCTCATGAAGGACGCCATCAAGCCCAACCTCATGCAGACGCTCGAGGGCACGCCCGTCTTTGTCCACGCCGGTCCCTTTGCCAACATCGCACACGGCAACTCGTCCATCCTGGCCGACGCGATTGCGCTCAAGCTCGCCGGTGTCGAGCAGGGCGAGCCTGTCGAGAGGACGGGCTACGTGATCACCGAGGCCGGTTTCGGTGCGGATATCGGCATGGAGAAGTTCTGCAACATCAAGTGCCGCGAGTCCGGGCTGGTGCCGGATGCGGCCGTGATTGTGGCCACCGTGCGGGCGCTCAAGACGCACGGTGGCGGCCCCGAGGTGACGCCCGGTAAGCCGCTCAGCGAGGTGTACCTCGAGGAGAACCTGGAGATCCTCGACAAGGGCTGCGTCAACCTCGCCAAGCACATCGCCAACGCCAAGAAGTTCGGCCTCAAGGTCATTGTGGCCATCAACCAGTTTACCACCGACACGCCTGCCGAGCTCGAGCTCGTGCGCAAGAAGGCGCTCGAGGCTGGCGCTGACGATGCGGTGCCTGCCAACCACTGGGCACTGGGTGGTGAGGGTGCCATCGACCTGGCCAAGGCGGTCATTCAGCAGCTCGAGGGAACCGCGAGTCAGTTCAACTTCCTCTACGAGCCTACGCTGCCCATTACGCAGAAGATCGAGGCGATCGCGCGCGACATGTACGGCGCCGACGGTATCGAGCTCTCCGAGGCGGCTGAGAAGCAGATCCAGACCATCGAGAAGAACGGATTCGGCAACCTCTCGATCTGCATGGCAAAGACCCATCTGTCCCTCTCGGCCGATCCCTCCAAGAAGGGCGCCCCCACCGGATTCACCATCCCCGTCAGGGAGGTCTATGCTTCCGTAGGCGCCGGTCTGCTCGTCGTCATGTGCGGCGCAATGTCCAAGATGCCCGGCCTCAACACAAGGCCCGGCTACTACGACATGGACCTCACCGAAGACGGCGAAGTCATTGGCCTTTCCTAAGTTCCCACCGCCCAAATGCGCGGCCCGGTCACCAGTGGTGGAATTCAACCNACGACATGGACCTCACCGAAGACGGCGAAGTCATTGGCCTTTCCTAAGTTCCCACCGCCCAAATGCGCGGCCCGGTCACCAGTGGTGGAATTCAACCGCTTCCTCCCACCAAATCTTCCTCTCTTGTAGAATCGTTCCCAGTACCCCACGGGCGTCAACCGCCATGCTTTGTAACGTCATCCCATCCCAGATTCGATCTCATCCGTCATGACAGCGTGAAAAAAAGCCCACATGCTGACATCGAGCAAGTACACACACACACACGCGCGCGGGCGCGCGCAACGTGGCAGCAGAATTCGGTGCAAGAACAGGTGTTCTGATATTTTGGGTGTAGATGGGAGGTTGGTAGTTGGGATGCGATGCCCTAACGAGCCTAGGCGCACTAGACCCGCATCAAGAAGTGCAGGTGTGCAGGAGAAAAAAGGGTCATGGTGTACAAAGAAGTTTTTTGCCAAAGCGCACTCGGGACGATGAAAGAAAAAACAAAAGACGGAGGGTGACGTTTTTAAGCAACGAGCTTGACGACACCGCCGGCCTCCTTGATCTTCTTCTCGGCGAGCGACGACACCCAGCGAGCCTTGACGATGCAGGGGAGCGAGGGCAGACGGCCCTTGCCGAGCACCTTGCCGTAGCCGGCAGCGAGCGTGTCGATGACGGGCACCTCGGTCGAGCTGGCGCTCAGACCCTCACGCTGCTCAGCGGGCACAAGCGTCCACAGCTTGTCCAGGTTGAGCACGGGGCGGTACGACGAGTTGCGCGTAAGGTGGAAGTGGCGCATACCGACCTTACCGAAGTAACCTGTTGAGACAAATTGGCAACGAGTGCGCGAAATCGAAATGTCAGCATGCCTGTGTCTGGCGTCGAGAAAAGATGCTAGCAACTGCCGGAGAGAAAATCCGTCCACGCCTGCCATGGTCTGATGCGATGCACAACTTGTCTTGCACATCCAATGCCTCCAGCCGACTTCCAATCTGAGCCACAGCCGATGTAGCTGGCTGTTCGATCCAGGCCGCGTTGGTTCATCCAAACCGGATCCCTCCAAAGCAACGCCGTCGATGCTTGAATCCCTCCTCGAAGCCTCCAGCAGTACATATCTGCCCTTCCAATGCTGCTTTCCGCTGCTTCGTTGCCGATGCATCCTTGCCGGGCCTTGAAGGCGATTCCAACGTCTGGCCACCCTCTATTCCGAGCTGATCCTCCGACTGTGCTGTGCTATTGATCAAGCTGCATGGCTGGCGTGGTTGAAGGTCGAGCAGTGCTGGTGCTGATGCGGTACTAACCAGGGTGGTACTTGTCCATGTTGGTGCGGTGGTGGTGCTGACCACCGGCGAGACCGCGACCACCTGGGTGCTTGCGGTGCTTGCCGACACGACCGTTACCGGCAGAGACGTGGCCGCGGTGCTTGCGGGTCTTGGAAAGGTGAGTAGGCATCTTTTGGTGGTCAATGTGGTGAAGGTCGGTGAAGATGGACGGTGGGTCGAAGATGCGAGTGCGTATGCGAAGTCGAAGATGGATCGAAAGAGGTGCAGAATGGTAGAGAGATGCAAAGTGTAGTTCGAGGCGGAATCAAAGATGTTGAAATGCGGCGAAGGAGTCGGTAATTGAGCAGGAGGACGAGCAAAAGAACGAAACTGTCAGTACGGCGTGCTCTGCCCATTTGGAACGTCTGACCAACATCGAGATGAGAAGGCCAATATCGAAAGACTTTGCAAATGTGTCGGTTCTGCATGCTGCTGTTGACCTTGCCGTGCCACAGGAGACGGTGCCGTACCCAGCAGCAATGCTCTCCACGATGCAATGCGAGCGATTCGATGTCGACAGATGCTACTAACCTTGACGTGTGTATGGGGGTGGCCTTGATGGTAAGGTGGAAGAAGCAGGCCTTGCCGGACGGTGTCGAGCTCAACTCGCCATCTCGAATCGCACACTCAACCTCTTCCCGGTCCTTGGCTCACAGTGGGCCACTCGCAAGGCGTCGCAGCGCCTTCAGCTGGTCTGCGAATTTCGGGGCTGCTGGGCACTCTGCGCAACTGGCCAAGGCTGGCGCCGCTCCATCCTCACTGCACACGGCGACATTGCCCAAGCTTGCCATCTGGTCAGCTCACCAGCCAGCCAAGCAGGCTCGACCAGGCTCACCACGAGTAGATACAGGCTGGGGAGCGCGACACTCGAGTTGTCGGAACAGACTCTTGAATTACTGCCGAAATTCAAGGTGCCATGAATTCGAATGTCTCGGCCGAGGTCACGTGTACCTGAATTGGCTTGATGATTGCGTGTAATTTTAGGCCACAACGCGACGGGCTGCCCCAACTGTGCTGCAGTTACATTGCCGATGGCTCAGTCCGGACATAAGGGCCTGCAGAGCGACCAGCTGCCATGGAGGCTTGGTGAGGCGGAGTCACTGCCCTCAATCTGGGGACAAGTGAACAAGAGACTGAGCTTGAGTCCTTGAGGCAGCAGCGCCTGTACGTGCGCAAGCTGCGAGCACGTCAGTCAGTCAGACACGAGAGAGCGCTGAGCAGGCGCGAGCGTGTGACTGTCGATCCGTTGGAGCTCGTCGCCACTTGTGAGCCGCAGCCGTACCGCTTTCCCTTCTCTCCCTCCACCCACTCATCACCCCTTCAAGAAAGGTAAGTGTTCTGCCGCCAATCGACCTGCTCAGCACCGTTACCCCCGGCATCTACATATACGGCACAGCAACGATCCGCATCCTTGGCACCCGCAGCAGCAACAGGCAACTGACCTCGTATTCCTACGATTCGTACCCGTTGCCTCGATCCCTTTCGACCTTTCCATCGCACCACCCACACCGACACTACTGCATCGACCTTTCCAACTGAACAGTATTCAAGATGGGACGACGACCTGCCCGCTGCTACCGCTACTGCAAGAACAAGCCGTTCCCCAAGTCGAGGTACAACCGTGGTGTGCCCGACCCCAAGGTACGTTGAAAGCGACGCCTGCACAGCGATGATCCAGGGATCCACTTTGTTGTGCCACAGCACCACACACGTCGGAGGAGGAAAGAGGAAAGGGACAGGATCGCAGAGGAGAGAAGGACTTGCTAGCATTGCTCGTCGGACACGCGCAATGGCATCGACAGGGATATCGAACATGTGGTTCTCGCACCAACATTCGAGAGCACGTCAATCGCATCTTGCGGGATAGGATTGGAGATCGATACGCGACATGGCTCCTGGCATCGCTGGCAGCATCTTAGGAGGAACATGCACAGCATCAACACCCGTAGACAGGATGGGTCTTGGTTGCGATGGCCATGCTAGACAGACCAGGCTCCAGATATGCTTGCTCGACATGTCGGAGGAGCAGGATCGTACAGCGCCATCACGTCGGAACTTCGTTGTGGAGTCCCTGGATCATCGCTACTGGCGAGCATATCGAGATCGCGATCAACAGCGCCAACTAACTCTGATTGCATTCCCCTCTAACAGATCCGCATCTACGATCTTGGCCGCAAGAAGGCTTCCGTCGATGACTTCCCCTTCTGCGCCCACCTTGTGTGCGACGAGCACCAGCAGATCACCTCGGAGGCTCTCGAGGCTGCCCGTATCTGTGCCAACAAGTACATCACCAAGACCTCGGGTAAGGACTCGTTCCACCTGCGTGTCCGTGTCCACCCCTTCCACGTCATCCGCATCAACAAGATGCTTTCGTGCGCTGGTGCCGATAGGCTCCAGACCGGTATGCGTGGTGCTTACGGCAAGCCCTACGACACCGTTGCCCGTGTGAACATTGGCCAGATCCTGCTCTCGGTGCGCACCCGTGACAGCAACAAGGCCGTCGTTCTCGAGGCTCTGCGTCGCTCGCGTTACAAGTTCGCTGGTCGCCAGAAGATCATCATCTCGAAGAAGTGGGGTTTCACCAACATGAACCGCGAGCAGTACGCCGAGGCCAAGCAGTCCAACCGCATCCTCAAGGACGGCTGCTACCTCCAGTACATCAACAACCACGGCCCCCTCGAGAAGAACCTCCGTCTCCAGGCCCGTATCGCTTCGCAGAAGTAAGCGTGCTGAAGAAGTCTCTCTTCCTTCACACGTCTGCTCCTCGATCCGCTCGCTCCTCAGCAGTGGTGTAGGTGTCTTGGTGCCGCACGGACGATGCGATCCTTGATCTGTCGGCCCTCGTGGCGCAGCCACCGATGCACTGTTGTCTCTCGTTCATAGCATGTCCCCGTGCATTCTTCCAAAACATTGTCATGTCTTTAGAACCAATCAAAGTCATGCGTTCTGTACCATCCTGTTCAGACTCGGCGTGTGCATCCTTCTGAGTGCTGTGAAGATCTACAATGAGGGGTTACGAAAATGTCCGCGACTTGCCCGTCAGGGTCGCCGGATTGATGCTCTCAAGGCGCTTCAGAGCACCGATCTGTGAGCGAGTGTCGCATTGTCGATACCAGCAGGCCGAATACTGTTGCCACCATGAACTCGACTTCTACGCCCATCCTGGGAAGAAGATGAAGATGCTAGCGGGCGGGTGAAAGCTTTGGACACTTTTAGACGCGGCGGGCGGGGCCGGCGACACGGAGCGCCAAGACGAGATGGAGCTGGGCGCAAAGAGTGGGCGCAGCAGCCGATGCTGATGCCGCTCTCATCTCTGCACGCGAGTGCGTCAGCGCAGCCGGGCAGGCTCTCTCCAATTTGGGCGCGGGCGGGCTGCTGGATTCGAAAATGTGACGGAACGGAGCCAGCCAGCAGCAGAGGGCGGCGGAGAGGCGACGAGTTAGCCGGGTCCCAGCCGCGCGACTCAAATTCAGCAGCTGAGCAGATCAGAGCGCACCTGCCACCCTGCAGTTGCGGTTGAGAAAGCTTAGTGTTCCTGGCTCAGCAGCCAAGCGTGACGCCAGCAGCAGCTCGCTTTCGTGATCTCACACAAGGCATTCAGACGGCACCGCTCGTCCCCGCTCAGCCGTGCATTTCGCCTATTCACACCCGCGTCGAGGCTCTTGGGGCGCATACTATCACCGGCCTCATCCTTGACCTGCAACTCCCACTCCTACTGCGACTGCGACTGCGACTGCGACTGCG